AACTCTCTTCAGTTTCCTTATAGGTACAATGGAATAACAATAAAGCAACCGTAACAACAAGTATTATTAGTATTCGTAATGATAACAATTGCTAAGATGACTAAAGGAATACTCACGTGAAAAACTCTCAGAATGGTGTCTAGCATACAACCCTCAGTATTTTGGCTAGTTACCCAACCATGATCTTGAAATAATAAAAAAATGGTAGAAAACAAATAGAAAGTAAGACAGGTACTTCTGGGTATCTAACAATCCATCGGTTGTTCTTTCTTAATATCTTGTGTCTGTATTGTTTTGATTTCCTTTATTTATTCCAGTTTCACTCAGTTTAGCAAATACACTGCTGTCAGAGGATTCTACTTGAGTATAGTTTTTCAGCCCAACTTTGCTAAGAGACATTAAAATTCTTTTTTGACTAAAACGTGAAGTCTTTTGGATGGCATTACCCGCAATCAGAGATCATGATGTAAACGCCAACCTGCTCTTCCAACTATATTGACTATTATTCCTTTTGTCTAATCCTATGATCCAGCCATCTCAAATATTTACATGGCCTTGGGAGACCCCTCTCTGCTCTAACTTCTCTAGGTGGAAATCTCTCCCTGCTCCACCATTGACAATGTTTCTCAATCTTCAGGGCCTGCTTAGAAGAACAACTATTCATCAAGCAACTCTTGATCTCTCTGAGAATATATTTTACCCCCTTATCTGTGCTACTGACTTCTTTATTATAAAACATTCTCGGTATTGTATTCTCTTGACAGTTGAATATATTTCATCTTCCATGCCAGATTAGCAGGAAGCAACTAATTAGCTTTTCAAGATGGAAAGCTTAGCAAATAATTTTGAGCTTCATTTTCCTTATTGAGCTCCGCTAAGAACCCTTCCTTCTATAAGGCTCCATAATTATGCTTCCCACTAGCTCGTCACCTTTTATTTTCATCCCCAAAGCACTTAGGAAGAATCCTGGTATATAGATTGTACAGGCTCAAGAAAAACGCTGGCTCTATTGATATTAAACTTAACTCAGGAGAAAGCGAATAAAGAGCACAAATTTTACAATGTGATGTAATAAGGAAAGTTTTATTTTAAATAATTTATATGCTATGTTTTCTGACCACTTTTACATTTTGTGTCTAGATATGTGTCTATTAAGAAGAGGGCAAAAAAAAATTTTTTTTCCAAAGAATGAACCAATGTAAAACGACATGCTTCAGAGTTTGGAGAGGTGATAGAAGTTGGGGATAAACAGGAACATGTTGGCTGCACAATTATGGACGCAAAGGAGTGGTTTAACTTTATGATCATACTAGTGCAGGAATAAGAACCTTCTGGAAACCAGCCCTCGTAAGTTTGAAGTCTGAGGAATTAAAGGCATACTAAGAAGGCATTTACTTCTTTAATAACACATAAGAAAGTACAGAACCAGAGGCCATAATAAAAAAAAAAAGCTGAGATGTTACAAGTGCCTGACGTCAGTCACCTAGATTTGTTATTTCTATCACACTGTTGGGTTTATCTGAATAATAAAATTCAGTTAAGAAATCCGTAGTACAATTTAAACAAACTCATTAATAAAATTAATCAGGATAATTCTATATTAGCAAAGGGCTCTGATTTGTTGAACAAGATTATTTATAAAAACACATCTCTGGCTATTTTAATAATATATTTTATTCTGCTACTTAATTCCACCTTTAAGAGAGAAACGGGAATTATTAATTAAATGGATAAGAAACTGATAATTAATTCAAGTCTGATTTTAAAAATTATTTTATCTATTTGACAATTTTTTGGATGGACCCTCTGGGCCATTAGTATGATCCCAAAAATGAGCCAAAGGAAGAAGAATGCACAGGTAGGCATGATACAGAAACTAACTCGCTTCAGCGAAGTTGGACAAAACTGAGACTCACTTTTCAAATCATATGCATTTCGCATTCAGAATATTTTCATGATTTTATTTAACCTCCCTCCAGAGTTGGAATCTGACAGGATTCATTTTCATCATTGAAATATACAAATTTCAAAAGAAGATAAAATGCTATTATTTATTTTACCACCAAAAGATAAATAATTTGTCATTACTTTAATTAAGGAATAGGAATCAGTATCATATTTTGTTATTTATTAAGATATTCTTAGGTTGAGGAAAATCCATTTGTGGAATTTTAAAAATGCTATCAAATTTGAGGAAAAGCCAAATTCCTAAATGAAAAACATAGAAAAAGTTGATTCAATATTAAGTGAATATTTAAGAAATTTCAAAGACCTAACTTTATTAAATGCTAAGAATAATGGTTTATGGAGTCATTGAAATAATTCTGGTGAAAAAATAATGCAAAACAGAAAAGCCAGCATCTTCACAATGTGGACTGTTCTCCTTTAAAAGCCCAAAGACGTTGATCTCCAATTAAGTTTACAGCCACATTTTAATTATCTAATCAAATGGAATTGAATTATGGTAAATCAAATATTACATATGTCTATCTTCCAATATGATGCATAAAAATGGCTTGTGTATATAATCAGGTACACAAAAATCATAATTCCAAATCAACATGCCAACCTTGAATTAGGCAAATAAAATGCACTTGGACGGAAGTAAAAAGCTTAATTCAGGGTTTCATAGGTGTTGCACATAATCATGATATGCCTCCCCGATTTTGAAAGTGAATTCAAACATAGGGAAATGAAACAAAAACAGCTATTTTCAAATTAACTAACACGGTGTGTAATTACGCTATCAGGAAGCATCTTATGAGATTAATAAAGCACTCGTGCAAGTAATATCTGAATTCACTTTATCAAAAAATATAACTATTTATTAAAATAACTTGATTTGAAACATCTTGGAAGTCTTGAAATGTCCCATGCCATATCTACACGTGTCTCTCCACTTGAATATAAACCAAAGGTTGATATGCAGGTGACAGGGTCTGATGTAGCCAGTAAACAGGAATTTTTAATGTGTTGGTAGATTTCAATACTGGCTTTTAAAGACCTTCCTTCAGGAAACCCCCAGGCATCATGGAGCCCCTACACACTCAAGATCCAGCATCTAGAGTTGAGGCAGGGACAACAGGATGCTTCCAGGCCCCTGCCTCAGAGCCATCACCATCTCGTTTTCTGATTATGCAATGCCCAATTATATGTTGAGTTATACATTCTCAGTATTACCACTGAAGAGGCCTATTCTTCATTTCAATATTTTTGTTTTCCTATGGAGCTGTTGTGTATTAAATATGTGTAAGCAATCTATCTTTATCATTATACTTAATGTAGTTGGATTTATTTTTTAAGTCCTTGATTTCTGGTGCAAATAGCCTTTCAGCAGTGAACCAGCAGGTCAGAAGCATTCTGCTTATTTAAGAAGAACTGCAAAGATGAAAGTCCTGTGGACAGTTGAAAGGACAGTGGATAGTAAGTGGTTCACATGTATATCATCCTTTTTGAGATTATTCATTCAAAGTGTACAGGGTCTTATGAAGATTTCTAAATAGAGACAGTAATATAAAACATGGCTAATCACTTTAAAAAGTCTCTGGATGCATCAACTTTGAAGTAAAAGGAATGAAAATAGGCATGATAATAAAAGAATTAGTCAAGTCAAACAAAAAAGGTTAAATTCAACATAATGTATATAAAATATATAGCAAAACAACAGAAAATAATCTTTCTTTATAATGTTCGATATATTTTTTCTATTTACCAGTTTATCAAATTCTGTGGATTGACATTTTTTCAATACAGACTATTCAGAATTGCTATGATAATTAATTTTTCTAGCAGAAAATTTTTTCTTTCCCATTTATTTGTTTCTGTAATGCATGTGAAGTTGAATTCCTAACAGGGATGTATGTGAATAACTCATCTATTGGCTTTGTGGAGCTTGCTTGAGTTACCAGGTTGGCATTGTGATACACCAGATGGCTTTGTGTTTCTGGGACAAAATTCTGTAGAATTCAGCCGTTTGGGAAATGCTGGTAAGCCGATTTACAGTAATCTGAGTTTAGAAATTATTTTCTGAGAATACACATTCAATATTTTAAAAGTACCCGCTCACTAAATCAAACTTTATAGAGTATGTAATTCAACAGCAATTAATTATGATATTATTTTCTTTTATTTATATTAAACACACCATGATTAGTAAGCTTTCAGGAATCATATATGTGCCTGAGTATAAGGACAACTCAGAATTGTGTTATTTGGGTCATAAAAGGGCTTGTGATTTTAAAGCATTTAAAAAAGACTTTCCTATTCTAAAAGGAGAATATATTCCATAAAGTTTTTTTTTTCTGTTATACTCACAGTTATGGTTTATTACAGTCTGTACCACATTAACTGATTGCCTTCGGGAATGGAAGTAGGACAGAGAAGAGCTCCCCTGGCACGCTTAAAGGAATTTAGTTACTGGCTTCGCAAGCCCACATTTTAAAGATGACCTTAGCTTTCTGGATCTGCTACTGTTTGCTTCCAATTGTGGATTTTTAGTTCTGAGGGGGAAAAATTAAAAACTCAATTTGTATGTTAGCTGGTTAATGGTCTCCTAAAGCATCCTTATAAAAAAAAATAGAACATTGATTGATGATAAAATCATCTTGATTCCCTGCCCCCATGCATCTGACATCTTGTGACTGTCTGTTTTACAGGAATGGCAGGTTTTGCAGCAATCCTTACATATGGTTTATATAAATTGAAGAGCAGGGGCAATACTAAAGTGTCTATTCACCTGATCCACATGCGCGTGGCAGCCCAAGGCTTTGCTGTGGGAGTAATGACTCTGGGTATGTTCCTACAGGATATCTCAAATCTGTGGTTCCCCATTAATGGATTTCTTTGTAAATAAAACAAGATAGATACTTTTAGCTGACTCGGAAGCAGTTTGCAAATATCACTTATATTCATTTTCACATAAAAAATGAATTAATAAAAATAGTTCAAGTAGTGACATAGTTTTACTGTCTATGGTAAAATCTTACTAAGGTTTTAAAGAAAGAAAGAAAAGATAGTACTGCCCTTCACTGAGTTTATAATTTTGTTGAAGAGTCTAGATATGTAAATAGGATTGGTAATAAGATCCATCATCTGGGAGAGACATGATTCCTGTTTTATTGAGTTTTTGAAGGTGGAAAAGATATTACATGCTTTTATAGGTTTTATAATTAATTGACTTTATCTGGTATTATACAGCAAGAGTAACTCCTTTTAAAGTTGCCAGATAAATATTGATATTTTAACAGTCTGAGCTAGTCATTCTGGCCTTGAGATACTTGGGAAATTGTGTAAAAAGAATTTTAGAAATTTGAATTGTTTAAGAAAGCAAGAGTGAGGGCCTTGGTCCCCTTGTAAGTATTGTACGCTAGCAAGGGTGCTACTTTTAGCTACTTTATGAACTGTTGTTAATTTTCTAATACTGAAAAAAATATTTAAATGCTTAACTAGCATTCTTTTTCTTTAGGTATGGGCTATTCCATGTATCGAGAATTCTGGGCAAAACCTAAACCTTAGAAGAGGAGATGCTGTCTTGGTCTTGGTGGTGCTTGCTTTAGTTAGACATCTCATATTGAGGTTATATGTTTATGTTGAAAATAAATTCTGTGGGTCAGACAATAACATGGTAATTTGAATATTGGCTCCCTTTCTTGCAGGCTTGATTTGCCTGGTGACCAAGTTACTGGTGACTAACTAGTTCACTAGCTACGTCATTCAGATTAGCACAAAAACATGGCACTTTTAAATGCACTTGATAGTGGTACAATGTCCACTTTCTTAAACTCTTCTGACAAAATCAGTTGTAAAGAGGACAACATGCCAATCCTGAAAATGCTCCCAGTTGCTGCAGTATATCATATGCTTTTGATGTAATGTAGAAATCCTATTTACCCCAGGTAATTTAACTCTTTCTGACTGCCTTGTGGACTGAGTACTCCATAAAGTTTTAGAAATCAAATTTTGAAGAAGTGTGTCTTAATACTAAAGGACATCCTGTAGCCTAAAGTGTGGAAAGAGTAGATATAAAGTGTGTACTTATGTAAGTCAGTTTTTATCACTCTAATAGAAGAAAGCATTTCTCTTAACTCAAGTTAGGAAATTATTATACATTTTTATATATCTTTATATAAAAAGTTACAAGTAGCAAGCATATGACACAAGGCAATGGAAGAGTAACAGCAGTATTGGAGAATGCATGCTTTTTACAATGTGTCTAATAAAAAGGATATCTTTCCAATTCAAATATCCAGTGCTGACATGCAGGGTATTTTCTCAAACTGTCAATCAATCATATTGCTAAGTGCTTAATCAAAAATCATTTCTACTGAAGGGTATGAACGGTAAAATACCTGATTTCAAAACTATCTCTGAAACTCGGTATCTTCCTTTGATTTTCTTTTAAAAAGAAAGGAAATGGGGGTATATAGGAAAGACAAAAAATGAGATTTTTCTTATTGCAATCCAGTAATTTTACTCGGTACTTCGGGCTGCATTTAATCTTAATACAACAACAGACGTTTATAGTCCATAAAACCTCTAGCTGGTGTTTCCATGGTCCATATTCTCACTTTTCACTGTAGCATGTTCAAAATCACTCAGGAACGCACTATTCTCAAGCAGTCTATATAATGAAAACAATGTACATGTAACACAAAGTTCATCCAAAATCGTGTTTTTTCACATATCACACAATGTACAATTATCTAACAAAGACATAAAACAACATAGAAACAAAGTGAAACTGACAGTAAAAATAAAGTTGGGATAGCCTTAATCAGGAATTAATTTCTTCAAGTTTCCAGTAAATCTCAAAATGTATTTAAAAACTAAGGAGCACTTGGTGGCCAGCAACCAAATTACGAAATGAACATATCATTGTGCAGTGGGTATGTCTTGCTGAAGGGATAACAAATGTCTGTTATTCTTAAGTTTGGATAAAGGCAGTGGAATGAATTTAGAAATATGTCCACTTTTCACAATTCACTATAGAATTTTCTTTTCACAGTCCCCATGTTTGTATAAATAGTTCTTGTCTGAAAATAAAACACAGTTAAAACATTTTCTCCCGATGAAATATGCACACAACTACACCAACTTATCAAAGTAGTATAGAGCATGGAAATGCATTCACCTAATTCAAGAATAATTGATAGGTCTGAAGAGTTTTGAAGAGATTAACCGTCAAGCACATTTAATTGGAGACAAATTAGTCTAATAGAGATATAGGCTCTAAGCGCTAAAAATAAAGCCATTATGGTACCCGATGACAAAATAGATGTACACAAAGACAACTGATATTTATGGGACATTTTACATTATCAAGCATTCAAATTTTATATTATAAAATTTGACATAACATGCTGCATTTAATTTTGATGAAATAAGCTGCATATTCATGCAAAAATAACGGGCACAAGCTATATAAGTACCACAGAACGCTTAGTGTATGAGTTTGGAGTGGAATGTTGCCAAATTCAGTCAATACCATTATTACCAGTCTTATATACTGACTTCAGTTATATTGAGACAGTATTCAATTTTTTTAAATTATGAAAACCTTGGGTTTCTTCTGGTATTTCTTTTAAGACTTCACCAATTTTTGTATCTTTACCTTAAAATAGATAAAATTTAACTTATTAACTTAACATCCTTTTCAATAACATTGTAGTACAATGCTTGATGGTAAGAATATTAACATTTATTTTAAAGATACGTATACTAAGAATCATCCTTCCATCAGCATTGAATCCCGTATATTTCTAATTGTGAAATGCTATGAAACACATATCTCAAGAAAGAGTGAATAAATAGCACATTCCCTAAAAAACTACAAGACAAGTTCAACAGAACAAAACAAAACAGAGTACAACAAAGTGGGAGAAGGAACCAAGGGCATTTGCTTACCTTGAATTTTCGTTTTAGACCCTAGTTGTGTTGTATTCAGATTCATGTTTGCTTAGAGACCCAATGAGGCAGAACCTGGAATGTTATGGCTATTTCATTCAACAAAGTAATATTTTCACAGAAAATAAATAAGCACACAAATATTTACTTAAAAGCATCCCTAAAAATTCATAAAACTGTGGAAATAAAATTTTTTCCATCAGCATGCAAAAATATTAAATCAACTAAAAGTAGTTTAGGTTTTGAGAATATATATTGAATTGAGGAATTACGTACATTTACAAAATAAACTAAATGCTAGTAAGCATGCAAAACATAACACAGGAAGATTGGATTTGGGAATTTGAAATAATATTTTTCTCAATTTAAATCTTTCCTTTACTAATTTTAGGCCTAATAATACAATATAGATAATACTGTCTCCATATTAAAAGAAAACTGTTTCTACTAATCCTCGCTACATTTAAATATCAATGTTTACTTGTTTTAGCATACCATGCTATCATATGCAATTTGTAATGTAAGTATTATGTGATATGTGGAAAAAAGTGTTTTAACTTTCATACCAAAAATATAATACATTATATTGCAAAATATGTTATTTTTACACTAAAATTATTCAACAAGATGGGTTAACCATCTCGGTAAGGCAATTATTTCCAAATATCATCTCGTATCTTAAAATCTATAAATATTGATTGGAGCAACATTTATGACCACATGGAAGCAAATTAGCCATATAAATTAGAGCCATAATTTTTATAGAAATAAATATTATCTCTGTATAGAAATAAATGAAATCTCTTTGGTCTGTGTGTGCTCACACACATACACGTATGTACACAGACGGGATTTAGGAAAAGTATGGAGAGCACGGAAGAAGGAAAAGAAGAGGCAGAAGTTGAAATACTATGCTTTAAGTCATTAATAAAAAGAGAAACTGAAAAATGAAGACAAAATAGAACACAACATTCTGGAAGCATTTCAGTCTTCAGGTTATAGTTTTCATCAAAAAATCTATAGATACTGACCGCTGGACGGCTTTATCGTGTCGGGACAGCCTGTGACTCGTGGTCGGCACCTCGTCAAGCTCGTCGATGTCACAGGGATCTGCAGCATCTTGGGAGTAGTTGTGTTTCATGACGAGGATACTTCTTCTGTTCACAGGTGGGATGAGGGGTTTGACGGGCTGTGGGGACATCTCTGTCAAGACAGAAGCATCTCTTGTGCTGAGGTTGCTGCGGCTGCCTTTCGTGCTGGACAGTTGTGATCCACAGTGATGGTCATGAATGCATTTGGAAGAGGACCTCCTCAGTTTATGGTAGTTTTCAAAGTCATCGGCCACATCTGCAAAGTCAGCTGTAGCTCCTGTCCCTCTGAGGGTGCATACCTCGTAATGAGGAGGTTCCAACACCTCCTGGAAAACTGTCTGGTCAAAGTCCGATTTCCTTTGGACATATTTTTTACGAGGCTGTTTGATCTGCACAATGACAGAAATGATAATAAGGATGATCACAATGCAGGAAGTCACGCCAATGACAGTCCCACTGGTGTTGGTCAGCTGGTCCAGCAGACTGGCTTTCCTCTTTTCTACACGTTGAGGAGAGTGAACAAAACAAGAAACAACCCACCACGCGTTAATATGGTAGTCGAACTGTAAATGAAACAGGCTGAGCATAAAACTTTCACTGTCTTAAACATAAACAAGTCTTTAAAAAGAAACAAAATGTTTCACTTTTCACAAGAACCCTATCTTCTAGCCTTAGAAGAAACGGCCCTCCCGTTGCACAGCATCTCTACTTTAAATGTAAATATATGTTTTGAAGAAGGTCTTATAAAACCTTTAGGATGTCATTTGCGAATCAATTGGTAATGGTAAAAACATTTCTCTTGGTATAAGAAACCCCGCAAACTCCGCTAATGGGAACATGAATACACCTAAATTGTTCTGAACTTACTCCTGATGTGGATAACTGAAGTCTAAGTAACAGTATTCTGATACCAGAAGGTGATTACATTTTAAGACAGACACTTCCGGGATGTTGGCATGAGGGCTTCTGTGGGTCTTTCCCCATCACCGTAAAAGTTAAAAAAGTAACATTTAAGGTTTCTGGAAATTGTCTTAAGGGAGGTACATTTATTCAAGAAAATCTACTGAATTTCTTTATGAACAGGGATGGTCTGTGGCCTTTGAGCTCCTCTACCCAATAGAAGCTATCCCAATAGAAGCTTCTATCCCATTAGAAGCTCTACTCAGGGTGGTTTCAGGCAACACAAGGCTCCTCTCCCTACAGGCCCCCAGTCTGGAGCTACGGTACCTCCCCAGGAAGGGCGAGCCACCTGCATTTCTCAATGCCCCTTCCACCCCCAGATCCATACTGCAGATGCTCGATTCCAGGCAGGAGTGGCTGGAATGTGGGGTCTCCCCTCCTCCTCCCAGGCCCCACTGGTAGGAAAGAAGGTCTACACCAGGCACAGCAGGTTGAGAATACAGGGCCCCGGTCACACTGGCTGCAGCTCACTCACAGCGTCGAGCTCCCTGAAGAGACAAGCAGAAGACCAGATGGCCCCTTTCTCCATCCTCACCGAGTGCCTTCTTCATAAAGCAGGGGTGTTCCTCTCAGAGAAGTGAGCCACTGTCCCTGCCCCACCCTACCATCCAGAGCAGTGGCGCAGAGGTTTTGTCCATGGAAAAAGGTGGGCCACCAGGAACCATGGAAACAGGCCCACTTTAGGCAAGTACAACGAATCCCTAACAGTGCTGTATAAGGTTCTTCACAAAATGCTTAATTTCCCATCCATTCCAAAGTGGTTCCTTGGACACAACATGGATCATTGCCCATCTCCTCAAAATAGGTGATACTGGATCGGCTTCTCTTATTGACCCTGCGAACCATGGGTACTGTGGCAACGTCTCTCTGCTTCTATCCACAGAGGGCATTTTAATAGAAGATATTGGACATCAAGCATGGAGCGTTATTTGCCCGTTTCTTTTCCTTTGCAAACTGGTTAATATTGGATCTGAACAAAAGAGGATATGTGGCACTCTGAACTTAACCAAAACTTGCAACATTCATAACCAAGCCGAGGGATGCTCTCTATGTAAACAAACCTTTGCGTACAGGCTAGAGAAGGAAGCCGGAACATTGGAAGCGATTCTCATTGGAAAGGAAGAAGAGCGTTTTGGTAGGAAAATTGAAGTCGAGGTAAGTGGCTTTAGGTACCTGAAAGCCCTAATGTTCCTTCGATACACTTTTATCTCTAGAGTATGTGCACTATGTCTGGTAAAGACGGACTGGATAAGTGAGAGGTGCAGCCACAGATGAAGGAGCTTCTGATAGGAAACGCTGCTTTGCACGAAAAGCTCCAATGCCCTGCTGCAGGCTCCAAAAAGGAGATTTGCCAATGAACATCAAGTGCTAAGGACAGTCCACTGTGCATTAGGGAATGTGAAAACTTCTGGTTACAGCGCGAGTAAAAGCAAAGGAAAAGGCTAACAAATCAATTATAAAACCTACAGGAGTTCATAAAGCCAATATACAATATATTTTTAAGGCTGTCTGATACATATAAACATTGGATAAACTTCTTCCCACGCTACAGGTAGAGGGATTTTGCAGATTCCAGGGACGAATGATTACCTTTACAATGATTTTCGTCCCAAGGGTACACACAGTTCTGGAGTCCATTGCAAACCAACGTATTGTTAATACACATGTTACTGTGGCAGAAGAACGTATTGCCTTCGCAGGGAGCTAAAAAGGAGAAGAAAAAGGCAAGAAAAAAGTTTTAACTGATGCTCAGTTGTAAATCACTCACGTTGCAAATCTAAAAACAAAAAGATTAGTGTGATAATATGCCGTCAAATTGAGAAAAATGGTAGAACTGACATTCCATTCTCAGAAGTGTTGCCATAGCGGTAATTATTCCTTGTGTTACTAACAGAGCTAGAGTTCTTCTAGATGTGCTCAGCTTATAAAACTGGCACGGGAGGTTTTCCATCATAAAAATGAAGTACATTATCAGTATGGGTTCTTCTGTTTTTTATTTAACTTGGTGCATTCATTTAGCAAAACTTAAGTGCCGACCACATGCATAACATTATTTTTTACACTGAAATCCTGTATGTATCAATTTGGTTGTCCTGTGCAAAAAAGATTTAGTTTAATGGAAATATTTTGGAAAGTATATGCTTACAAAATACTAATTAAGAAAGTATAATATTATTTAAGCATATGAAAGAAGCAAAGAATATCATGGAGATTCAGAACAAGGGAAAATTTATTCTGAACATAAAAAAAATGTGCATTATTCTTATCAACGTTTAAAATATATACGGTGATGAAATTAGCCTACTTTGCATATATATCACACTTTCTACTAACTTTAGGTACAATGGTCCATGCGCTCCAGATTACAATGCACATTTAGGGCATTGGGAGGTAAAATAAGAATTCCAAGAAGTATACAATTTGGCTATAGAAATAAGAGAATTAGTGACAAGTCTAATATCGCAAAGTCTAATGTTAGCTATGACTTCAATATTACAAAAAAATACACTTCTTTCATTGTCAGAGTAATTGGTCATTTATAATAATGCATCTCTAGAGTAATGCTACACTATGAATTATAGCTTAGATGCCATTATAGCTTGATGTAGACAGTCCTTTAAAGTAGTTTTTGTTTTTATCTTTGTAATCATCCCACATATCTCATAAAATGTAATTTTAGCATTGATTTTTTTCGGTTATAGTTTTGTGGCCCTTTTAAGGATAGGTATTCTAGAAAAATATATTAGACACAAAACACATAATTTTCAGAGGTTCATCAATCAGTAAAGTTTTATCAATGAGCAATATTATCTAAACAGTGCAGTCATGTTATAATTAATTTTCACCTTCAAAACCGCATATTGCAGGGTTGTTTTTTTTTTAAGAAAGTTGTCTCCCTTAAATGTATTTTCCATATTAATGAAAATTGTTAAGAAAATGCTTTGCGTAAGGTAATTTAATATATTTTAACATTCCTAGAGGAATCATTAAAAAACAAATGATCAAGGGCTTCCCTGGTGGCGCAGTGGTTAAGAATCTGCGTGCCAATGCAGGGGACACGGGTTCGAGCCCTGGTCTGGGAAGATCCCACATGCCACGGAGCAACTAAGCCCGTGAGCCACAACTACTGAGCCTGCGCGTCTAGAGCCTGTGCTCCGCAACAAGAGAAGCCACAACAATAAGCCCGAGCACCGCGATGAAGAGTAGCCCCCACTCGCCGCAACTAGAGAAAGCCTGCGCACAGAAACGAAGACCCAACACAGCCAAAAATAAATAAATTTATTAAAATAAATAAATGATCAAGTCTTGAAAATCAAAAGTGTGGCAAAGACAAGGGTAACTTGAGCCAAGCATTCCCCTGACTCTCCAAGCCCTTACCCCTACCCACCCCACCCAGTCCCAATTCCCAGGAGAGTTTCTTCTTCCTTCTGCTTGGTTTGCCTTCAAGTCCCTGGATAAAGAATAAAAAAGATGTAATAGTCGTTTTGAAAAACAAAGTATTAAAGAGTAGAAAAGACGCAGATGCAGTAGTCATTTTGCAAAGTATCATGCTGAACATTTTATTGTGCTGCTGCTTTCAACATGGTATAAAGCTTTTATAGTGTAAAATGTAATGATCCAATCTATTACTGCAAAAATCTGCTTTTCAGTAAGGAACTAAATTTGAATTTCTGTAGTCAACCATTTTGCAGAACTGATGTGGTCTGTTTAGCAGGTAATGAATGTTGTCAAAATGTGTACACAGAACAAAAAAGTAGTTTTCTGCAAATAGATTAGAGCAGCTGCAAATTGCTTTAGTAGAAAATGTAAAAAAAATCCACTTACTACCTGATAAATTGCAGTGGTTTTGAAAGTACAGTTAATCCATCAAGTAAAGAATACCCCGAAAAGAGCATAAATATTTATTGACCTTCCAGAATGAGCTGGAAAATTTATTACAATTACTATTAAATAGGATGGGTTTGTTTTTATTTTTTTTGTGTGTATGTGTGGTACCCGGGCCTCTCACTGTTGTGGCCTCTCCCGTTGCGGAGCACAGGCTCCGGACGCGCAGGCTCAGCGGCCACGGCTCACGGGCCCAGCCGTTCAGCGGCATGTGGGATCTTCCCGGACCGGGGCACGAACCCACGTCCCCTGCAACAGCAGGCGGACTCTCAACCACTGCGCCACCAGGGAAGCCCTAAATTTTTAAATATATAGATAAAAATGGCATTGCATTCTGCAACAGTGAAGTATGTTAGTACTAACAGTATGTTAGTAAATACACTAGAGATTTGGCTTCCAAATTCTCCAAATGTAATTTTGCTTCTGTTTCTGCTGCTGTTGCAAAAGTCTTACAAAACACCAATCAATGTGCCAGTATCAGTTATCATTAAATATTGGTGGTTTGACTGGGAATGGAACAGATCATCCAGTACTGTCAATGAATCACATTCTTGACACACTACTTTACATCAAATAATTATACAAATGTGCCAGTTAACTGAAATCATTCTCCCTTAAAAAAATCACTATTATTCCAAGTACTACTCCATCTTTTCTTCCTTACTTTTGCTACATTTACAGAACTGCTGTGCAAACAATAAACAAACAAAAACAAACAAGGAAATCTTAGCAGTGGCTAAGAAACCAATGTATCACAACATACGCCTTGAACAAAAATTAATTTTGTCTCATAGACACCAAAAATAAAATCGATTGGATTCTGAATTTTCTTTATATTGCATATCTGAATATTTCTCTCATATAAAGGCAGACACACAATAGTTCAATAAAGATTCTTAGTTCTACCTCCTGCTAAAAGCATAAAATGGCACCTTCCTGCCTCCCAAATCAAGCCATGTCCTCACTGCTCCTTCAAGGGTGTCTGAGTACATACACTCTGCACATAAGCATTTCCCACTGCTCCCCACACGTTCCTGAGATCTTTGGTTCATTGGCCATGTAGTTCCCTCCCTCTCTCTGTCCTGGAATACCTATTCTCCACTCTGCTATGCAAATCATATCAGAACTGTACGATCTTTACAGTTTTAAAATATCGTTCCAATCTATCAGAAAATTATCTTTTCCTTAAATCCTATTCTACTTACAATTTTTAAGAGTTTAGCACTTAGTATATGCTTATCATCCTTCCCCATGAGTTCTTTGAGGCTAGGGACATGCTTTTAAAAAAATTACTTGTAATCTCTTATGTGGCTTAATATCTCTAGGCTCAGAGTAAAGAGTCAACAGATATTTTTAATTGATTAATATCACTGAGCAAAAGTTTAGCTCTGGCCAGGCTGCCGACCTGAGTACCCTAGAGAACAGAAGAATCTCACAGGTGTGTTTATTGTGGAGAATTAGCCCTCAAATACAATACAAATTGTGACATTCTCAGAAACTAAACCCCATTCATTTATTTGGCTCTCTTACTATTGCTGGAAAAGCACATATTCTACCAATTTTTAGAGAACTTATTCTACTTAGAAATTCAATATAATTGTCAAAAGCTATTGGCTCTTAAAAACCAGCCCCCTTATGCCCTAAAATTATCTGGAAGAAACTCAAAATTAAGGTTTACCAATAATAAAGGGCAGCCAATAACGTAATCCTCAAAATTCAGAGTAACTCACACAGGCAGTTTCCATGATCAGATGAATCTACTTATTTCTGGGACTAGGTCTTCTGTTGCTTTCAGAATAGCAAACATAGCCTCATATTGATGTTAAAAACTAAGTACACAGAAGAAAGTATTCGCATTGCTTTTTGACTCTGAATTATTTAAAAGCATATTTAGACATAATGACTGCAGCTATTGCAAACTCACTTCTCTGGAAGGGTTTATTGAACATCACCATTTTATCAACCGCATCTAATGCTAAGTGTTTCTTTTTGAGAAAAGCCAGAAATGGAATGTAGTGAAATATGCTAGTCAGCCAAAAGAATGTCATATGTGTAAGCACAGCATTGTTATTGATTTAAATCATTCGGGTAACATAGAAAATGGATATTTTAACACTGCGAAGTGAGTCTTTCCCAACTTTCCCCTCTTCTCTCATACACTAACACATATGCAATTGTGCAAAGCATCCCTTTTGGACCAGGTTAACTGTCCATGAACTTGAAGCTTAGAGAATGCTTCTCCAGGCACTTCATCCTGGGGTAGAGTCCTGACAACACTACAGAGGGTAGGGCTGCGTCTCAGGCTGTAGGGAGTGATAATTCCTAAGGAGAGATCTCGTCTTCCATGAGCACTTACTCAGTTACCACATCTATAAAATAGGGAGACAGATAATGCTTCCCTAAGTGATTTAACTATGCAAAGAATGTAGGACAGTGCCGGCCATATGGACGCAAGCACTGTAGTTGTCATAGTAAGCTGTTCTAAAAGGCAAGTATTGTACGGAGGCTGTGAATTCAAAATGTCTGAGATTGAATCCTGGGTTCACCACTTCTAAGTTGTGTGATCTTGAGCAAATATTCCTTAAATTTTTCCACTTTTCAGTTTACATCTATATAATGGGATAAGTTTAAGGAGATACAGGATATAAAAGTTAAGGGATTTATATTCAATTTCCTAATTTGTAAAGTGACGATGGTTGTTCACAGACCTCTTGTTAAGACTAAATGAGAATGCAAATTTGAAAGAACAGAGCACAACCCTTTATGCAGAAGAGCACGCAATAAATGCTGTTTAAAAAGATGAGTTATACATAGAACTG